CAGTCCATGGGGTCGAAAGAGTTGGACACGACTTAGTGACTAAAGCACAAGGAACAGTTACTTGGGCTGGTGCCTTATACCAATCTCAGAATGAAGACGGTGAAAGGAAACAGTCATGGTAAATATGACAGGATACACAAGAGCTGTCTGTTAATTGCTGAGTTGACTTTATCATTATAACTTCTCAGCATATCTGGCCTATCTGTACTTACAGGTATGAATATAAGTCAGTCAAGACTCGAGGTTGAGGTTTTTCGCTTTTGATGACCTGCAGCATCACTTCCTTCTCCCCCTGCTTTCACAATGCTTGGGTGCAGTTTCTCTATCCGTGTTCTGGTGTGTACTTTATTTTTGTAAAAACACTGAACCAGGACTTTGACTTTTTGAGGGCAGAAAAGCTTCTTTGTATTTGTTTTCCTACCATCTTAAAACTTGGTTCATAGGAAGCTGCCAGTATTTGTTGAATAAACCAAATTATTGTTTGGTTTGGTTTTAAATTACATGTAGGTATCCTATAAGGCAATGGCACCCCACTTCAGTACTCTTGCCTGGAAAATCCCATGGACGGAGGAGCCTGGAGTCCATGGGGTCGCTGAGAGTCGGACAAGACTGAGCGTCTTCATTTTCACTTTCTTGGATTGGAAGAGGAAATGGCAACCCACTCTAGTGTTCTTGCCTGGAGAATCCCAGGGACGGGGGAGCCTGGTGGGTTGCCATCTATGGGGTCGCACAGAGCTGGACACGACTGAAGCAACTTAGCCAGCAGCAGCAGCATCCTATTTCTGATACATTTTTAGAAATGCTACTAAATAAAAACACTTAATGCACACAACAGTCAAACTGGAAGAGTGTATGAAACAGGCTTAATCTCTCTAATGTGGGTAGTGGGGTCTAGTTCCAGTGAATTTAAAAAGCAGTCTCCTATGAGGCGAGGTTTACAGGCAACAACTTTCCTAATTGGCTTTAGACCAACCAAAATCTATTCTATTTCTTCCATGGAAACTTCAGCATTGAACTGTCATGCAGTGTTTTTGCAATTTTTCTTTTTTTTTTTGAGATGAACAGATAACAGCTTTTACTTGAAAGGTTTTACTCTAACAAAAATTCCAATCCTAACAATTTTAAGTTTATTTCTTTAAATTCCCTTGAGATAACTAGTATTTTAGATGGAACACTGCAAAATTCAGAACCAGGATTTTGGACTGGGAATCTGCTGATGCATTCCTAAAATGCAGGTGTCTTTTGAAGAAGCTCATGATCAGGAGGTAACTTCGATTCTTCAATGCCTAAACCTTACCTCACCTGCATCCTTAAGTCTGTTACCTTATTTCCTTTTAAAACTATTTTAAGAAACACTGGCTGAAAAGAACCATGGGTAGGTGGGATTAATAACTAGATTTTTCTCTTTTTTCCCATTGGGCTATGTATCACATGCTTCTTTCAGTTTCCAATTAAGGGTCTTGGCAAATAGTTAAGTGAATGGAATAAGCTTAGAGTCAAATTGTTTTAAATGTCAGTTAAAGAGAAAAATTTTTATATGTTATAAATCTACTAAGAAATAATGCTTACAATGAATTACATTTCTTAGATTGCATAAATAATCCTTTCTTTAGGGAAGTGATTATGAAGGATGGGGGTGGAAAATATAAATTTCACCCAGGGGGATTTTTTAAGCTATACATTCTCCCTCCACAAATATTCTGATATATTCCTTTTTGTTCTCTCTGTGGAATCAATGCTATAGTGAACCATTGACTGTTACGTGTCATACCCTTTTGAATTATTGTTTTATATTTGTCAGTGAATGAAATGTTTCCAATTAGAATTCTACAACAATATAAGACAACATTTTGTTTAAATTACATTATTTATTTTTAATTATCCCTCTTAGTCCTGCATGCATTGTTAGCACAAAAATTTGATTACAACCTCCACTGAAGAGATAGTAGGTACACAATCACCATCTGAAGAGTTTCTTCAGAGATGACTGACCTAGAATTCCAGGCCATCATAACACTGTCAGTAACCTATACAACGTTCAATAGAAAAATTTACCCAAATATCCTTTGTTTAATGTAAACAAGGCAGGAGGCAAAACATATTATAGTAACACTATTTTACAGGGCCCAGAAATATGATTACCTACCATGTTTTAACACATCAAGTGTCACAATGACATGCATATTTTGATTAATTGTACAATCCAAAATATAATTACCATATAAATTGTGGTTTTAGCAATTCACTGTAACTTCTGTCAATACTTATAAACTTCATAATTAAATGGTAATTGTACATTAATGCAATAATTTATGGAAATATGTTACCATGAATTATGAAGTAATTCCATAATTTGTGCCCCGTAAAATTAAGTGTAATAATCTTTACACTAGCAACAGTGTAAGCAAGCTAAGGATTTTGGTCCTCATAGATATATACACAGATATATATACAGATATACACATACAATAATGTACAATTAAACCAAAAAGCTATGAATTCACTCACAGCTTATATATTGCACAGACAGATACATTATGAGAACATTACAGAGTTAGAATGTGAGTACTACAATGATAATTGGCTGGCTAAGGACAAATCTTGAGTTCTATCAAGTAAAGAATGTGGCTCATTACTAAAGAAAAAAAAAAAGCCAAAGACTATACTGTTAAGAGATAAAGTTTAAAAAAGAATGTTATACCCATACACCAATGTGAAGCAAGACTAAAATTCAGTTTGGAACTTGTTATGGCAAGCGATTCCTAGGGTGGTTCTGCCCACCCAACAGTGTGCAACAGTCACTGTTTTGCACATGCTAAGGAATAGAAAAGTCAACTTCTGAATATGGCTAGTCATGTAGGACAATGTTTCACTAAGAAATCAAACTCACGGTGAGAACTTCTGCTGGCTCTAGGTCTGAACTAAATAAGAAAAAGAAAAGAAAAACAGAAACCAACTTAAAAGATAAACAAACTATACCTTAAGCTTTAGCTGATTACAAATCAAAGTCATTATAATAATTTAGGAAAATAATTACCTTTTAAGCAGCAGCATACAGACACACACACACACAAATAGGAGTTAAAGCTTTTCTGAGCTTGGTTTCATGGATTAGCTGAAAGGTCCCATTGTGAAATCAAGGATAAAATAGTATTTGGCTTTCGAGGTAACATTGCCATTACACTTATTGAACTCTATGAAAACATTAAGAAATAACGAATACCTCTTAATGTTCTATTTTAAATACACCTACATCAAAGTAGACTACAACTACATCTAAAAATAAAGATGGTGCAGTGTTCCTTGCATTAATAAATACAGCAAAAAGAATAATATGCCTTCCCACGGTTAAAAATCATTTAAAGAAAAACATGCACAAAGTAACTATCTCCCACTTATTTCTTCATTGTTTCACTTAATAAATCTCCTAGAGTGAGCTAACAAAGATTTGCACTGAATTTAGAAATTTAGCTTTTTTGTCGTTTTTAACAGTGTAAGAATTCTAGAGCCAAGAACAGTCATATTTTTTTTTGACATTCTGTTCTTAATAAATAGCAAAAACAAACTACAAAATAAATCAGAAAAACAAATACAACAAAATTAGCAGTAGGTTGGATGTAGAGATGCAAATGCGCCAAACAAAACAAGTTCTCTCAAGGGGCAGTTCGGTTCCTTTCAGGCTGGAAGGCTCCCTAGACTGCTGCTCCCACAAACGTCAGTAAATGGGAATGAAAGGAGCAAAGTGCTGCTGCTTAACACATCAACTGAAAAAACAAAACAAAAACCCAAGAAAGCTCAAAAGTATATTTGAGTGATAAGCATCACTTAAAGGAAGCACAGAAAGTGGATCAGCAAACACCCCTGTGTAAACCAAGGACAAGCGTGCCCTGCACAGCGCAGCCAAATACCCACACCACTCCTTCCTGCACACGTGCCCACAGATATCACCTTACCCAAGTTCTTTCATATGTAAACAGGACAGATTGGCTGGTTTGCTTTTAAATCTCTTTAGAATGATTTAAAACAAAAGACTGAGGAAAAAAACTAAACATTCAGGAGGCCATTGGCATTTTGATTGCTGCCACCTATACTACAATGCGTTTCAATACGAAAATCAAACCCTAAAGCAAGTTTCAGAGAGGGACGGAGAGACAGAAGAAAAGAAAAGGGTCTCAACCCAATACATGTCGATCAGCTTAGAAAATACTATTTTAGTAAACAATACCAATGGTGAGCACAAATTCAATGTTGTTGCAAAAATGACAAAGTTTAAATTAACTGGGACCCCTACATGAAAATCAATCACTAACCTGGCTATGTGCACAAAAGAGTAAAAGAACGTTTCTTTTAAAAATATATATATATTAATCAAGAATTTATCATATTAAACTGTTATTCTTAGAAAAGCTGAAGAAAGTTAATGGTGCTCTACACATTTTTATCTTCTATTATTAATTCATTTGATAGTTCCTAAATTGTATTTTTTTTCTCATTTATAGTTTTTTTTAAATATTTTGTTTGATAAGAATTCTGACCTTAAAAAGTTATAAAATTAGGGTTTTGGTTTTTTTTTTTTTTTTTTTTGCTACTTATTAATCCAAAAGAATGTAAGCACTTGAGTCCCAAAGAATGTCAAAAGGCCTTGCTACCTAAAAGGATATTAGATTAACAGAAATATCATCAAAGTCATGACATCAGAAATTTTGCAGCTTTTCACACAGGCATTAGAAATGCTTATTTCCTGAAGTTCCTTTGATTGTATCCTGGATTCAAGGACGTGCAACTTTATATACAGAACCATTATGATAAAGCCAGTGAAAACAACATCACACAACACTGTACTGAGTGTCCACTCAGTGGGTTCTGAATGGTTCTGTCCAGTTTAGAGCAATGCTTCATTTAAAAAGGCTTTTTATTGTCACGTGGCTGGGTGGAACGGAGGCTTTTTTGATGAAATGTACATGATAGTTCTGTTTCCTTGGTTACTTGAAAGATGCTGTTTAGGGTGTGGAGGCTGCGTGGTATTTCACAAAGGCAATGGCTGCCAGCTCCTTACAGAACTCTTCCAGCACAATCACACCCTCCAGCAAGGTGATGTGGTCAATCCTGGGAAGGGAAAGCAGGCAATCAATCAATTCAGGGTATCAGCAGATCATCAAACAATGGCAAAAGCTTTAGACAAACAAACGTGAGAAACACTGACTTACACAGGGCCTTCAGGTTCCAGACCAAGTAATCGCTTCCTGACTAATAGAAGCTTGGGAGTAAAGTCCTGAATACGCTGGATTCGAACCATGAGGTCTCCAACAACCTGCATCACAGAACAAAAGGGGCTCAGTTCCCGAACAGCTCCATGGGGGATTTTCAGGATAAAAAAAAAAAATTACATTTCCTATTACTAAATGAAGACTGCCACTTTTCACTATTCACCTAACAATCTTTGACAAAGGACCCACAGCTATCCCTTAAAATACAAAAGTTATATGTATCATTTAAGAGAATGAATCTTCCTTTTTTCTCCACATTCTGCAGTAAAATAATTCTAAACCGAAAATACATGATATTTTTCATTGTTGTTGTTTAGTGGCTCAGTCATGTCTGACTCTTTGCGACCCCATGGACTGCAGCACACCAGGCTTCCCTGTCCTTCACCATCTCCCGGAACTTGCTCAAACTCATGTCCATTGAGTCGGTGATGCTATCCACCCATCTCATCCTCTGTTGTCCCCTTCTCCTCCTGCCTTCAATCTTTCCCAGCTTCAGAGTCTTTTCTAATGAGTCGGCTCTTTAGATATTTTTCGTTACATGACACTAATTACACACAGTGTTATTAAGATGTTAATTGGTCAGGTTGATCAATCCTGGAGAATAGAACAAAACTGACAACTCACCCTGACGATCACAGAGAATAGAGATCTACAGCCAGAAGCAAGGTTCACATATGGGTCCAAGAGGTACTCATGTATGTGTGGATGAGGGAAGAGAGAAAGTCTAGATAGCACCGACGTCACTTGTAAGTTGACATCATATGGCTACAGAGAGGGAGAAAGCAAAAAGTTATGTGACATCATCTTTATGTATATAACTGAGCACTGAATTTACCTTTTCAATTTGTCTTTTCAAGAAAGGACAATCTACCATCTTAATCCTTCTTGATATGCTCTTCTACAATGACAGTATCTGTAACTAAATTAACTCTAGCTCTTACTGTCTCAAAGTGCATACATCACAGTCCTAAAACTAAAACCAGAAAAGCAGGCACATAAACATATAGGAAAAATAAACATATAACACTGTCAGAATGTCTCTGCTTTTTGCAGGTTTTTTAAGTTAGTAAGATAGTTCAAGAGGTCATCAAAACCCAAAAAGACTTATACACTACAAACAATAGAAGACACGTTAAATATTAGACAAAAGATAAAAGGGAAGGTATTAAAATCTTTTAAGTAATCTGATTTTAGAAATGATAATCCTTGTTTTAAATTATTCAACTGCTGCCAATTATCAAAAGCATATATACAATAAAGTCATATAAGTCACAGAACATTGTCAACAGAGTAAAAGTACTTGAGGAGTAGAGATAACTACCCACAAGCCTTAATAGTGAACTAGAAGATAAAAAAATCACGATTACAGAAAGGATCACCGCCTTTACTGGGCAAGAGCTTTAACTCTTCCAAAACAATGACTATATATCTGCGTAAGGTTCCTCATACACGTTTTGTATTACAGTGTTACAATTTTACTAGTTTTTTATACTTAATCTGTTTATTCCTCATAGAAAGCAGCTTGGAGGTGCTTTACATTGTATGTGTCAAAATCAAAACAAGATGCATGATATGCAAAAAGAGTTGTTATTATTGTGCCTAGAACTTTCAACAGAAATCTCTCATCCCTTCCAGTTTTCTTCTTCTAAGCAGTCAGAGGCAAGTGAGTGGCTGAAACAAAACTGACTTCAGTGAGAAGGTTGGAAAGAACCTCAGTGACTGGACGAACGAGAAAGAGATGATGCAGCAGGAGGAAGGGAGAAGTGATTCAGGACCAAGGTAATATTCACCAGAAATGGTTAATCAGAATGGTTTACCCTCATTCACTGAGTAGCTCTTAAGCCCTTGATCATAATGAATACCAACTAAGAAGCAAATGTTTGGCATTCAAAGGATGACCAATGCTTACGCATGTGCCAGAAGATATCAAAGATACTGTTATATGAATAAAAATTCAAGTCCTATGCTAAAGTCCAATTTCAATCTTTTTTGCTTACTACTAGATTCATGAATATAGATTTTCTGAAAGAAGTAAAACTTCCCCTAAGTCACTCTTATTTAAAATCTAGTCTTACACAAGATAAATGAAAGGAGATACAACTCCCATTAAAGGATAGATCGAAGGGCATCTTTTCCTACTTGATAATATTGGCGACAGAATAGCCTTCTCCAAGATTCAATTCAAAACAATGAATTCACATTAAGCTGCATTTTGGGCACAAAGGAAACACTTTAACAAATCTTTAAGAAGAATACACTTGGTAAAAAATGTGGACAAAATCATTTAAAATACAACTTAAGTATAGTATTGTATGTGACTTCATTTCAGGTAGTTCAGATTTTTAGGTCACTAAATTCCGCCATTTATAGGTGCTTTAAGTAAATAAACTGACAAAATTTGGCTTTTAACAATGATATCTTACTACTTAATTTTCTCTATACTTTGGTTTTAAGCTTTTTGAAACAAGAAGCTATATCTTTGGTTGTTTAAGAAACTTAAGGCTGACTCAGATTATATTTTAATGTTGTGAAAATGAAAATGAAATTCAGCTAGATAGTAACTGTTCCATCATACTCTGAAATGGTCTCTACTTCATATTGGTAATAACTTTAAAACAAGCTGGCTTTTTGGGGGATTCTTAATAGTAGCTGTTTGCATCTATTATTTTGTACTTTATATATAGAGTGTTCACCTGAAATCAAAGTTAACCAGATTTTTCTGACATGTTAAATGGACTTGACCCATTTTTTAATGAGCTCACCCTAAATACAAGGTCTGAATTTTAGGACAATGAACTTTGACTTAGATGTCACCTGCTAACTCAATCTCAACTCTTTTATTAAAGGCCAAATATATAGATGGCCAAAATTATAAGAATTTATAAATCTCAATGACTTGGTAGTCTCTGAAATTTCTTGTAACACTTGCATTTAAGAAGATTTTATATTTTTAAAAGCAATTTAAATTACTTCCCCCCCATTGTCCTTTTAAGCAAATCAAGTAATGTCAACTTCACTTAAACAATAAGAAAATGTGAGAAACAGCTACTTGAGTTGCCCAAATTCAAATTTTTCCCTTTGAACTTAGGTTTTCCCACATTTTTCCTGGTATTCTTTACATTCTGCTGTGGACCTTAGCATTTTACTATCTTTTAAAAATCACTACAGTTAAAAACAATACTAAACACACTATATTTTTCAAAAATTAAGGCTGTGACAACACACCAGTGTCATGAATACCCGATGTCATAACTTCTCAATTATACATGCAGAAATTAGCTACTTTATTATTAATTATCCGTAACAATGTTTAATCCCAGCCTAGTTAGCCTGATACTATTAGGGGTGTCTATGTACTATGAACATACAAGCAAACATCATCTTTAGCAAAAGCAGTTAGAAAAGAGAAAATGAAATTAAACCAAGCACGTTAGACCCACCAGAACTTATGATCATCTCTGCAATCTGATTATAATGTTCTTATCTGAAAAGGCTTGGGAAGTCAAGGTTTTTAAAGACGGAAGGCTTGAGGCTAGGCTCCACAGCTCACTCACTGAGTCACATTAAATAAAACCAAGGATTCGTCATCTATACAGTAGTACAGGTGGCTGTCCCGCCTGTCTCAGGGCTCCAGGAAGAATGAGGGGACACTGTCTGACCTGCGGTTGCACTGTGCAGGGCCGTCTGGTGGAAGGAGGAGAACTGCGCACATTTTAGGATATTGTGTCCAGTGCACCCTTTGTGCCAGCGCTCTACAGACGGAAGGGAAAAATGCTCAAGTGGGATGGAGATTCCAAGGGGGTCTTTCCACTCAATTCAGAAACTACTTTTTAATGTTTAGATTCCTTTTGAGTGCTTTTGGTCAAAATTTCTACAGATTACTGACTTGATACTGATTGTTGATGTCTCCTGGGTGTTCTTGTTTAATCAGATTCAAACTAAGCCTATAGAACCAGCACAAAGACACAATACACTGGGAGATTTATTTATTTATTTTTTATTAGTTGGAGGCTAATTACTTTACAACATTTCAGTGGTTTTTGTCATACATTGAAATGAATTAGCCATGGATTTACATGTATTCCCCATCCCGGTCCCCCTTCCCACCTCCCTCTCCACCCGATCCCTCTGGGTCTTCCCAATGCACCAGGCCCGGGCACTTGTCTCATGCATCCAACCTGGGCTGGTGATCTGTTTCACCCTAGATAATATACATGTTTCGATGCTGTTCTCTTGAAACATCCCACCCTCGCCTTCTCCCACAGAGTCCACAAGTCTGTTCTATACATCTGAGTCTCTTTTTCTATTTTGCATATAGGGTTATCGTTACCATCTTTCTAAATTCCATATATATGTGTTAGTATACTGTAATGGCCTTTATCTTTCTGGCTTACTTCACTCTGTATAATGGGCTCCAGTTTCATCCATCTCATTAGAACTGATTCAAACGAATTCTTTTTAATGGCTGAGTAATATTCCATGGTGTATATGTACTACAGCTTCCTCATCCATTTGTCTGCTGATGGGCATCTAGGTTGCTTCCATGTCCTGGCTATTATAAACAGTGCTGTGATGAACACTGGGGTGCACGTGTCTCTTTCAGATCTGGTTTCCTCAGTGTGTATGCCCAGAAGTGGGATTGCTGGGTCATATGGCAGTTCTATTTCCAGCTTTTTAAGAAATCTCCACACTGTTTTCCATAGTGGCTGTACTAATTTGCATTCCCACCAACAGTGTAAGAGGGTTCCCTTTTCTCCACACCCTCTCATTTATTGCTTGTAGACTTTTGGATAGCAGCCATCCTGACTGGCATGTAATGGTACCTCATTGTGGTTTTGATTTGCATTTCTCTGATAATGAGTGATGTTGAGCATCTTTTCATGTGTTTTTTTGCCATCTGTATGTCTTCCTTGGAGAAATGTCTGTTTAGTTCTTTGGCCCATTTTTTGATTGGGTCATTTATTTTTCTGGAGTTGAGCTGGAGGAGTTGCTTGTATATTTTTGAGATTAATCCTTTGTCTGTTGCTTCGTTTGCTATTATTTTCTCCCAATCTGAGGGCTGTCTTTTCACCTTGCTTATAGTTTCCTTTGTTGTGCAAAAGCTTTTAAGTTTCATTAGGTCCCATTTGTTTATTTTTGCTTTTGTTTCTAAAATTCTGGGATGTGGGTCATAGAGGATCCTGCTGTGATTTATGTCGGAGAGTGTTTTGCCTATGTTCTCCTCTAGGAGTTTTATAGTTTCTGGTCTTACATTTAGATCTTTAATCCATTTTGAGTTTATTTTTGTGTATGGTGTTAGAAAGTGTTCTAGTTTCCTTCTTTTACAGGTGGTTGAACACTGGGAGATTTATTGTAAACCTCCCCACTAGCTGGGGGTTGGGGGGGGGGAGGTTACATAGCTATGATGTATACAGCATAATACCTACAGTGAAAGTGAAAGTCCCTTCAGCCCTGTCTGACTCTGTGACCCCATGGGCTGTAGCCTACCAGGCTCCTCTGTCCATGGGGTTTTCCAGGCAAGAACATTGGAGTGGGTTGTCATTCCCTTCTCTAGGGGATATTCCCAAATCAGGGACTGAACCCGAATCTTTGGTTGTTAAGTATTAAATATCAATAAACAAAAAATGAAACAGCAGAAATTCAGTACATGTTGTTAGCACATTAAAAGAAATCCTTAGTTTCAGTTAATGTGACTTAAGTGAGTGAACTCTGGAGCCTAGCCTCAAGCCTTCTTTAAAAGTCTTTAAAAACCTTGATTTCCCAAGCTTTTTCAGATAAGAACATTATAATCAGATCGCAGAGATAATCATAAGTTCTGGTGGGTCTAACGTGCTTGGTTTAATTTCATTTTCTCTTTTCTAACTGCTTTTGCTAAAGATGATGTTTGCGTGTATGTTCATAGTACATAGATACCCCTAACAGTATCAGGCTAACCAGGCTGGGATTAAACATTATTATGGACAATTAATAATAAAGTAGCTAATTTCTGCACGTATAATTGAGAAGTTATGACATCAGGTATTCATGACACTGGTGTGTTGTCACAGCCTTAATTTTTGAAAAATATAGTATGTTTAGTATTGTTTTTAAAAGAAAAAAAGGACTTGACACTCTGTCTTTATTGATTATTATCAGAAACAGTGCTGGCTGAAGTCAAGCCAGTGAAATACTTCCTAATTATCATTTCTTTATTTGGCTTTCTGGTTATTGAAGACAGCCTGATTGTACAATACATTTCTTTTGTAACTCCCTATGCTCGTATAAATATTTAACTAAAATGCTAAAAAAAAAACACCCAAGTTCTTTAATATAGGATTTCAAATTAATTCTAAATTGGTTAACTCAGCTTTCATGCTGAGGCACGTTTAATGCCACATAGTTTCATTTCAAGTGTCCATATCAACATATAAAACATTTCAAAGCTCTATCATCACTCTATATGTCAGGGAGAGAGGGAGGGAGGGATTCTCTAATCTCAAGGTCAGTTCTGACAGTCAGTGAGAAAGACATAGCAACATACCAGCTGCATTTTTACTTCCCTTGAAGTAAGTTAACTTTTTATATTCATTTCCCCTTATGAAAATGAATATCATTCACAAGTTCTTTCTCTGAAGAAGGAGGTTCATCTAATACTGTTCTGTAATTTTAGTGAGACCAGAGCACTCAAGATTTGGTTTGAAATGACGTTTAAGGTCTTCTGTATTAAACCTAACAAGTTTCACTCTATCTGTACCTGTACTAACCAAAAGTCTTTCTAGGAAAGCATTCTAGTCACTGCCAAAAGATGTTAAAATTACTGTTAATAAGACAATGGTCCACAATGAGAAGTAAACACACAAATCTGTAACACTTGTCAGGCCAGATAAAAGTTTTAACATAATGAATGCATCAGAAACCCACCAACTGTTGGCAATCAAGCTTTATGAAAAAGTCATCTGGTGGAAAAAAGAAAACAATAAAAACTACTGAAGATGTAAATAGAACCCACAGTGAATGGTAACAAAATAATACGAAATTAATACTTTAAAACTTATTACCTGATCAAGAATTCTTCCCATCCTGTCAAATAAGACTTTCAAAAAATGACCTTCAAAGAAAGCTGCTTCTAAATTGCACCTTTCCAGTGCTTTTGGAGAGCCAGGCCACTCCCATCTTAAGCAGATAGCACAGTAGTCCCGGAACTGCGGAGATAGCATTTGGATCATTAAAGAAGAACTGAGCAAAACAGATAGAGATTAAATAGAAACAATTTCCCTGAATAGGCATAACAATCCGCTCGAATGCTGAGTGTCTGCTAAGTGTCAGGTACCACAGGAGACGGGAGAAGACGGCATAGATGACACCCTGGTGAGAAAGCAGGCAGATTCTCACTTAACCAAAGTGCCCCTCGCACTGCTGGGGCAAGCATAAGCATATGCTCTTCCCTTTGGAGGACTTCAACCCTTTCCTTATTCTCATCACAGATTTAGAGTATTTAGAAAGCAAAGTCAGTCTTAGCCACATTTCCCAATCTATTCTCAAATGTCACATGTAATGTACAAAATAGATGAAATGTAATAGGTGAACAGATGCATGTCATCTGAGAAGGCAAACTTGACTTTGCTACCATGTGTTTACCCAGGCACATTGCTGGGACCGTTAAGAAGAAACAGGCTGCTGCAAGTGCAGTCTGAAAACTGTTCACCTCCATCGCCATGAGACGAGTGCAAAAACGGACAGCCAGTTTAGAAACTTTTCAATTTCACTGAGTAAATTTTACGTCTGTTCAATCTAATAAAATAACTGGGGCTTGTATTTAGTGTTTTTTTCATTTTTCTGGCATTTCATTTTTATATTTTACAAAAGCACTGGTCCATGACAGCTTAAAAGTAAGTAGAAACTGACCCTTACTATGCATTTTATTAGTAAGGATTACCACAATACGGATTTTTGTAAGCACAAGAATATCTCTTATAATAAAAAGAAAATTTAAGTCTTCCCTGGCAGGTAATTTACTTGAATTTTAAAAAAGAAATATGGAGCATAGTTTTCTTCCATATTCTTTCCCTTTTCACATCCTCCTTATTAAATAAAAGCAAAATTACTTTGATATCTGTAGTTTACAAATTAGCTGAGATTAAAATATATTCTTACTACAAAGAACTAGCTTCAACTTTTAAAAGAAAAACATATTTAAAATGATTAAAAATGCAACTTCTTCAATATCTTGTGAGTTTTAAACTATTTCTTTCAATAGACAATTTTCTTTATAAAACCACATCCCAATATTTAATAAAGCATTTTATATTAAAATTTTTGAATTTCTGAGCTAGAAAATAAGTCTAAATTTTTTCTATTCTTTTTGTCTCATTTCAAATATTCCTAAAACAATTCTGTTATCAGAATATGGAAATAAAACTTTTCAGAGAGAATCACAGTAGTTTAAAAATCCAATCAGTACTACTGAGGTTGGGGTTGCTTTCATTGTCTCTATTTTATTGTTACATGAATGTATTTGGTACCCTGGTACTCTATTTATTCACATAGTAATGGGGACTTGAATTTAGGCTTAAAGTATCATGAATTAACTGTAAGGGCATGCAAGTTAATTATCAATAAAAGCACACTCCCACCCAAAAGATTTAAATGAAAATTAAATGCATATTTTTCTCATGTGAGGCATTTCAAAACTTTGGAATTTGGTAAAATGTAAAATGCTACAGGGCGCTTTCCTGGTGACTCAGCAGTAAAGAATCTGCCTGCAGTGCAGGAGATATGGGTTCAAATCCCTGGGTCGGGAAGATTCTTAGCAGAAGGAAATGGCTACCCACTCCAGTATTCTTGCCTGGGAAACTCCATGGACAGAGGAGCCTGGTGGACTGCTAGAGAGACTGAGCACACACACACAATGCTGCAGAGGGGAAAGACGATTGGGAAAAGTCCATCTGATAACTAAGAGAAGACGTCTGAGAAAGTGGTTTCAGGGAGGGGGAAAGCTGGGATGCAGAGGATGAAGAGGCAGTCCTTGGGAATTACAGATGAGTGAGAACAGTGGAGAAGAGGGAAGGAAACAGCCTGTGGGTTGGGAGTAATGCTAGAATCATTTAAAAGTCACGGTTTAGATCAGCAGGGAGAAGGATCTAGGGGAGAAATAACTTCAAGGACAGAAAGAAAAGAAAGAAAAGGGGTGGGGGGTGGGGAGGAAGCACAGAGAAATTTTGGGACAGAGACACAAACTCAGTGAAAGGCAGTCAGGTCACTGACAGAAAGCTCAAGCGGTGAAGAGTGGAATTCAGGTCTTGCAGATAAAGGGGAACCTCTGGAGAAATACCTGTGGCCCATGTGACGAGGGCTGTGTCTGTGCATCTTATTAGATCTCACATCAAACCACCTCACCTACCTGCCTGTGAGCGTCTCTGAGGTAGGTGTCGTATCCAGTGCCCTCCACATGGTAGGATGATTTTGCTTCATCTGGGACCAGACAGAGAAAACTTAAAGGAAAAACAGCCATAATCAGTAACACATATACTCTCACAATTCAATACCTCTATGTGTATTAAAATATCTAGCAGTATCTTCAATTTAGCCAAGTATTAATGCAGATGGAAACTTGAAAAGTATTCATCTTGAATCAGTCCTACAATTTGCTGATTAAATACTGTCATTATTTTAAAGGTTTTCTTTAAAAATTACTCATTCCACTTAAAGTAGAAATCAAGCAGAAGATGACTTGACTCTTTCTACATTACAGGGCAATGACAGAGAGCCCTGATGTTTGTTAGTCTCGGGAAACTGGCTTTTAAGTAACAGAACCTTAGATTCTCAGGCACCCTAACTATGCATCTTGCACTATGTGCGGTTTTCTCTAAAGCCACCTCGCAGCACCTGATAGGACTGCAAAGGAAGAAAATTACTGGGGAAAAGGCACTTAAAAAAAAACCCTTTATAGAGGACTTCTCTGGAGGTGCAGTGGATAAGAATCCATCTGCCAGCGCAGGGGACAGGGGTTTGATCCCTGATCCTGAAGAGTCCACATGCCACGGAGTTAGTCCTTGCGCTACAACCACTGAGCCCATGTGCTGCAACTACTGAAGTTCGCCACCTAGAGCCCGTGCTCCCCAACACGGGAAACCCACACGCCGCAAAGAACAGACCCTGCTCTCCGCAACTGGAGAAAGCCTGAGCCTGAGCAAGGCAACAGTAACCCGGCACAGCCAAAAATAAATAAATATAAATGAATTAATGTAGTTTAAATATATATATAAAAACACAAACTAATGAAAAGAAACAGCCCTCCGCTTAAGCACATGTGAGTACATGGCTAGTGAGTTCAATCCATCAAACTGGAAATTCTCAATGTTGTTCCAACTGGGAATTACTTAAAATTGTTCACATTAAAAAAAAACAAAAGGAGAGTACCCTGAAGATTAGTTTAGTCACTACTACTCTAGAGTTTTTTTCCTTTCCTCTTTTGTATCGATTGTTGCCTCTAGGCTGTTCACTAGCTACATAAGCATTTCAAAAAGTTGACATAATCTTTAAAAAAGGGAAGACTGAGTTCATGACATATCTCTACAATGATCAAAGAGCAGAGCTGTTATATGTTGTAAAAAGAAGTGAAAGAGACGTAAGTCAAATACATACAGCAACTCACCTATTTACAATTTTGTGGACTTCAGTTTTCCCATCGTTTTTGGGGTGGTCTGGAGTAGCGGGAGGTGAGGAGCTAAGCCACTCTTGATTTGACAAAGTGTTATCTGGTGAAATGTCAGTAAATAAGGGATCTTCTTCCAGATCTCTAAGTTTAATTTAATGATGCATAAAAAAATTTTATTATATTTTCTAAACCAAAAGATTCTCTGCTATGTTCTCAGAAACCTTTACATAATTTTGCTAATAAAAGAATTAAGGAATAATGAATGTATGTCTATTGTACAGAGAAATTAACATTTTTTACTAACATCAAACTCAAGGTTATACTGACTTTGTTAGGTTTAGTGAATAGATACTGCGGCTTGTAATTTGAAGGACAATAGTATCAGGACACCTAAATTTTATTTTTAAAGAAACTTTTAAACTGTTAAAGTATTTTTAAAAATACTTTAAGAGAAGAAGGAAGAGAAGAGAAATTAAGAGGGGAGAAAATTATGACTTAATATGAAACACTAAATTCAGAGCTGGACAGAAACTTACACTGCTCCTGCTATTAATCCATTCTCCACTACATCTTTATCTTCTGGGCACACAGGTTTATATTCTGTATAGTTTCTTTCTTCAAGATTTCTTAGGACCAAATTGTAAAGAATGTGCTCATTGGGTTTTTGTAAAAGATGCTCAAACATTCTTAATGTCATTATGCTGATCTGAAACCCAAAATGATAAAAGGTAACTGAAAAATACTTAAACTGTTTTTCATGATTTCAACTTTCAAAATAAAAAGCCACATAAAATAAGGCTGTATTCAAATCATGACAAGTGCATCAAAGTCAGTACATCAAAGAACCTAAGTCCAACTTTAAATCCTTGTATAGCTCACCTCATCAGATATGTGATCACAGTGTTCAATTAACCTATGTCTTAAAGGATGTCTGCTAATTTCTGCCAGAGTTTCCGGTTCCCTCTGTTCTCCAAGGATGAAAAACACCATTTCTTGAAGCAAAATGTCGGAGGTTACTTGCCGAACAATGCGATGGAGCAGAGCAGTTGATGTCAGAATACCCATCTCAGAACTGCATAACAAACAGGTAATTAGGGGGTAAGAATAACAAGAACATAGTGATTTTTTTTTAAAAAGAGGCCACTCATGGGCGTCCCTAGTAGCTCAGAGGTAACGGATCTGCCTGAAATGCAGGAGACATGGGTTTGATCCCTGGGTTGGGAAGATCACCTGGAGAAGGAAATAGCAACCCACTGTAGTATTCTTGCCTGGGCAATCCCATGGACAGAAGAGCCTGGCAGGCTACTGCCCATGGGGTCACAAACAGTAGGACATGACTTAGCAACTAAACAACAACAAAGAGGACACTCACGTTTGCATTAGCTGAGGTTCCATAACACCAATAAAAAATCTTTCATGGACAGCTTTGGCAAGAGCAACAGCAGCAGTCTAGAACATAGTATTAAGTATCATATTTTTTTTAATGAGAGAGATTAATTTATAACACCACTAAATCAATTTGCACTCTCCATCTAATTTAATGTAGAAAAACAAACTTGCCTATTGCCTATCTCATTGATGGCATATAAACCTAGGTAAGATGCTAGCTACTGGTTCCTTTACATGTTACCTAAATTTCCAAGAACAAAGACAAACATAAAAATATTATCCCAACCACTTATTGTATTAACATCTCCCCAAAGAGGAGAAATGCAGGGAAGCCAATGTTACCTTGTAAAGGGTTGTGCTATAATACTTAAAGAAACATAAGGACAGAATTTTAACTGTGATTTATTCCAGAGCTGTAATACACATACACACACACACGCACAAACACATATATATAGTTTTGGAGGGTTTGCTATTTCATTTTATTTATTTTACTAACTATGCTATCTATCCTAATATAATTAAGACATATTTAGGGATAGAGACTGAGTATTCAAATTTCACTCAGTAGTTATTTACATTTTTAAGTTATCAATTAAACAACAAAAGTATTCAAACCTTTTGTGCTTCCTTTATGAGTTGATCACAATAATCAAACCAGGAGAGAAATGAAATTAAGGCTCTTTTTCCAGGAAAAGCTGAAGCATCTTCTTTATGACTATATGAGTCCAAGCTATAGGACACAGAAGAACACAGAGTTATTCAAAAGCATTAATCCAATTCAGTGCATACGGGGAGATGAAGGCCCGTGAATGAACACACGGGATGACACATTTAGGCAGATGAGACTGGATGACAATCAGAAGAGTGTTTTATACATGAAAGCCAAAGATAAGAGAAAACCTTTTAGATAAAACTTGTGAATAATTTTCACTCATTAAGTGGAGAATGGAGCTACAGCAGAAAAAGCACTGAGACACCTCCTCATATTTCCACCTTAAATCTGACTTAGTAACAGGAATGGGAAGTTGGAAGTTCTCAGCCTCTAGGATGAAAGGAAAGGAACATAAAGGAGGGACAGCAAAAGGAACCGACTGATCTGCTTCTCTTCCTGCCTTAAAACACTATCCAGTACTGAAGTTAAGAAGTGGGTCTGGCCTACAGATGTTGACAGAATACAAAGAGGGAAAAAACAAGCAAAAACCAAAGAAGGGTTAAAAACGCACAAAGAGTAACAGGTTCTGATGTCAAAAATGTTAGGCTGCTTAGAGGTGGTGGGGTTACAAGTAATTTTATTCATGCTGCTTTACACTTTTAATGGGCTTCCCTTGTGGCTCAGTGGGTAAAGAATGGCCTGCAATCGAGGAGACCCTGGTTCGATTCCTGGGTTGGGAAGATCCACTGGGGAAGGGATAGGCTACCCACTCCAGTGTTCTGGCCAGGAGAATTCCATGGACTGTATAGTCCATGAGGTCACCAAGAGTCGGGACACGACTGAGCTACTTTCACACTTTTAATAACTTATAAATGTTCTGCAGTAATCCTATTTTCATATGAGAATCAAGAGGGTAGCCCTAATGCTGGGGGAAACAGGTGAGAGGTGGGAGGTGAGGTTCCACACAAGTTTGTTTTTTTTTTTTAAATACAGTCAGATAAAGTTATCAGTCTTAAGGTACTAACTGATCACTACAAGAGACAAAGGGAAAGAACAGCTTAACTATGTAACACCTAGGCTGTTACCATGCCAATTCGCTCCTGATAACAAAGTTTAAAGCAAGCCTCAAAACAACAATCTGGTTTAATGATGACTAGCAATGTTATATTTTTCAAACCTGAAAAGGTCTATCACTGCAAAATGCAAATGGATTTAGAAACGTATGTTTAAGAGGTCACTTTCATAGGAAAACACAAACAGTGGCGACTCTTACCCCCAGTTAATCGCTTCCACTGTTTCAATATCCAAGGGGTCCACTGCCTGAGGTAGGGCCTTGTACAGGGAGGCAAGCCTGTCGGTGAGCAGTTCGCACAAGCACGTGCTCTGCGTGAGGCACTTGGCGGCCGCTGGCTCCGGCAAGCTCACTAACAGCATCAAGCCCTCGCAGGCTTTCACGGCTATTCGGCCATCCTGAGGGGAAAAACATGCGTCCTTACAGGGCTTGAATCAGACATACCTCAGGTTGTTTGGCAAAATTCACCTTAAATGGATTAACGTTTTATGCCAAAATAAAGACAGAATTCTTTTCTCTAGGCATTTAACGGTGATTATGTTAAGGGGAAGAAAGAAAAGATGACTCACAGGACTTCTAGTAAGATTTAACAAAGAATTCACTAGGTTGTAATCCTGGTTTGGACGAACAACGGTGGCCTCTGGCAGTGCAGTGACACTGAGATTTTCCAAGCTCGTGGACAGGTCACCCATCTGATGAGAAGGCTCATCTTCTGAGTCTGTGTGCTCCGTTCCAGAAGCGCCAGACGGTTCCTCTGGCTGACAGGACTGGCCTGTATCTGTTGACAAGGAATCTTGACTTTTTAATACATCTTCTGAAATTGCATTTGGGCCTCCTTGGGAAGCCAATGATTTAAACTTGTTCTGAAAAGGAATACATGTTTTGTAAGATTCACGTCAAAAGCCTTATAGAACAGAAATCATATTTTAATGTGTTTTTCTGTAATCAACACTCAATATCTGGCCACTGTCACAACAGATAAAAGTGTTATGACAAATGAAAATACCCAGACTTAAACAAACTGTGTTTTAGATGTCTTAAAATTGCATAGGCGTTTATCATAATCTTCAGAATAGGATCTACAAAATGTTTTACACTGACAGTAAACAATGAACATATTAGTAATAATTATTTGACTGCTCCCGAAAACAACTGATGTTAGTGAGGAAAACATAAGATTCAGGAAGTTTCAGTTGCCGTTAATTGTTTTCTCATCACTGGCCTACTAAAGATAAATAGCCCTAATGCTGTTTCTTCTAAAATTAGTTTCTAAGATGATTTTTCTAAGGCTTTTCCTTATACCTCTGCTCTGTAAATATAACTCAATACCCTGAGGACCTTCTTGTTAGTATTTTTGAGGATAAAAATGAAGATTTGCTTGAAATATTGTGAACCCCTCCCCAAATGGTACACAGCCAAACACAAAAAGAACCTAAATTGAAGCAAATCATTAGTTTCCAGGCAAAGGTTTCTTGATTTCCATTTAAACGTAAGAGCAAAAAAATCAAATCACACACACAATTTAGAATTCATCATAAATCAGCTTCTCTGCAGGACTTATCAGAGTGCTTCATCAGAGAAGTGCATTAAATGCTGAATAAAGTCAAAGTTCCACTTCCCAAATTACATGCTAGATATTATAAATCACTTTTATTGCTATAAAAGTATAGTTTAGACCAAGCTTATTGAGAAATTGAGCTCACAGCACATATATTAGAATCCTATGGAACTAAATGAATACTCCAAACAACTTCCCAATTTCCTATGAAATCAACTGCGTATCATAGTTTTTATGAATGTCAAATATTTTATTCCATCTAAAATGTTAATATTGTTGTTGGGAGTAGCATCTCGGATAAGAATGGCAAGTGGAAGAACAATCCTGGGGTCACGAAGAGTGGGTCGTGACTAAGCAACTAACACTTTCATTTTCAGCACTCACTCCCTAAACTAGTGTTTCTCAACTCAGGACTGCCAGCTCATGGTTTTCTGTGGTGCTTGATAGAAATGCAGAATGAAAGTATCTAGAGGTGGAACCAAGGGATCTGCATTTTAAAAAAGCTCCGCAAGCAAGCAAGAATTCAAAGCCTTTGACAATTCTAATCTATCTGTCTGGGTCCCTTTTCTTACCACATAGCCTAATTAAACTCTGTGAACCACACCACGGACTGTCCTATCTTCACTCCTTTACTTGTGCTCGCCCATTCTTATCTAAACATGTCAAGGCTCATTTCAAGGACAACCTCTTCCATGTTCCCTCCTAATGACGAAGGCAGATGTAATCTCTTCATCCTGTGAAGTTTTAGGGGCATTTACTCTGTATCTTTCTCACGATACTCGCCTCACTCTACCTTAGATTGCAGTATTTGAACATCAGTCTTCCCTCATCACCAGACTACCAACTCCTTTACAGAAAAGAATGTTACTAACTTATCTACCATCTGCATTTAACTCCTAGCAAATGCATCTACTGGCTGATGTAAATGAAGTGAGAGATTAGATTTCAAGGGATATATGCTTGAGAAATGCAAAGTACTTCTATTACTAGTGAAAGTCGCTCAGTTGTGCCTGACTTTTTGCAACCCTGTGACTACACAGTCCATGGAATTCTCCAGGCCAGAATACTGGAGTGTGTAGCCTTTCTCTTCTCCAGGAAACCTTCCCAACCCAGGGATGGAACCCAGGTCTCCCACAATGCAGGCGGATTCTTTATCAGCTGAGCCACAAGGGAAGCTCTATTACTATCACACTAGTAATAAAGCTGCATGTCTCAAAAGATTCATTCATTCAGTAAGTGTTAATTAAACAGTTATTACGCACTGTGCTAGATACCAGAGAAGCTATGAGGACCCAAAGATTAATAAAATAGACTCCCTGTCCTCAAGGAGCCTACTGACCAGGAAGAGAAAATAAAATGCACATAAATGACTCTAATGCCAGGGAGACTGTAATAACTGACATTAAAAGCATTAAAATTAATAGTAAAAGCATACGAATAGTCACCTACCACCTCAGGCTTTGGAGAAGTAGGTGTTATAAAAATGTGGGATTACAGCAGACATGACACTAATTCAGAAGGGTGGTGTTTATACTGAGGTCTACATGTAAACGTGTCTCTGAAGACAGGCAGGCATATATATGCCTACAAATTTTTAGTTTCTGATCTATGGCTGTGTACTTCTGAAACAAGTATCAGAGATTCTGAGAAAATCTCCTTAAACCTTAAGCATGGAAAAAAATCTATGCATCTAAAGGAATTTAGGTTACTTAAGAAAACTTACACAAAAACAAACTTTGAGAAGAAAAATCTCACACTGAGCCAAATCAAGATATTTGATATATTTATATCACAAGGCTATTATAGCCATTTTGAAGCAAATTTTCAAAATATATGTCATGAAAAACAGGTATTCATAGTCCTTAGCACTAACCTAGAAATTTAAATCTATGCACTTTTGCAGCTTGGTGAGGTAGGTGCTTACCTACCTCCAGGAACAATGCAGAATAATATCCTGACTTACTTACTCAATAAAATGAAATAAAAAATGAACCCATCTATTAGTACAGCCAGAAGTTTAAAACCAAAACAACAGTGAAAACCTTGACAACACCCTCTCTGACAAGGACATGGAACAACAGCTCTCATACGTTGCCCCGGGTTGCAAAATGATAAACCCACTTGGAAGGAGTTTTGCAAATATACACTTACTACTACATGATCCAGAAATCCTACTCTTGGGTATTTCCCCAAGTGAAATGAAAACCTAAGTCCACACAAAAAATCTGTGAATGTTTATGATGGCCTCATTCGTTAATTGTCTCAAACTGGCCCATAAATCCCTCAACTGGCAAATGGCTAAACAACTGCAGTGCATCCATACAACAGAATACTATTCAGTAGTGTAAAACAGTATCTGTTTGTGACCAAACTCACAGAAGACTCTCAAATGCGTGGAAGTGAAATAAAGAAAAACCAGACTCAAAAGGCTGACTATATTTTTACGACTTTTTGAAAAAGAGAAAACTTGGGATGAAAACAGATCAGTGATTGCTAGAGGCAGAGGTAGAAATAGGATGACCAGAAGGGACATGAAGTAAGGTGATGGAGCTGCTGTCTATCTTGATTGTAGTGGTGGTTATAAAACTGCATGTGTCTGTCAAACTCACAGAATCAGAGAGACTGAGTTGTCCAGTGTATAACACACCTCAATCTAAAAAAAAAAAAAGATTAAAAAAACCCTTTTTTTTAAAAACTGAAAAACCCCCAACATTTTCCCTAATATATTTCTAAATGACTACTGCTAAAAAAAAAATAAATGAAAGCAGGAAAAACAGAAGAGTTATTTTCTAATTTAAAACTGGAATTAAAATCCAAATATTAACTGATTTGAGTAAACCACAATTTGGTGACTATGGCTAGGAAAAGACAGAACCAATTAGCAGAGCAATCCCAATGCAACACCAGGGTGGGGAGGTGACTCGTGATGTTCTGCATCTTGCCCAAATCTGCACACACCATCCTTACCCTAGGTCAGGTTACCCACACACCACGCTTGAGCAAGCCTGGCTGAAAATATGATAGCTTAAAAATCCCCGTGACTTCCCTCTTCCAGATTTGCCCTTCGAGCTGTGCTCCTAAGCCGTAGCTTTGTATTTGTCCAGTCCCTCTTCTGCTCCCTACATGTGGTTCAGTCACATTCTTTGAGAGTAGCTTTCCTCAGGAAATTTCGGGTTAAAATAAAACAGTGCTCTTAAATGAAAATAATTCTGGGGAAGTAAAACAGGCTATCTGTTACTCACAAAATGTAATTCCTTCTGATATTATTTAGAGAATTCAATTCTTATGATAATTTTAATATACACATACTTTGAAGGTTGACAAGAAGTAAACTATACCTCCAGGAAAAAATTAACCAAATAGGGATCTTGTTTCAGCTTTGCACACACAATGCAGAGAAACTGAATTTCTTCATTTTCTGTTGGCGTTGCAAGGACTTCACCACACAATCGAATTAACTTCTGTCAAAAAATTTAAAACAAAATTTTAAACTTAGGCTATTTTTTTTTTAATAAACATCTAAACAGCCATTCATTCACCTTCAGGATATTTTACATTTTCAAATACTGCAAATACACTGCATTTTTCAGAAAGAACACTATTTGCAATCACCTATATCAAAATAAATCTGCTAGTAATGTTTTTCAAATATGTTACTTTAAAAAATTAGTGAGGTTTTAATAAACTTCTTGAGATGTCATGGAAGTACGTCAATGGTAAAATTAATGTATAAAATTTTAAGAGAGAAATATAGAGACATGAAGTGCATTTAATACAATGTCATGCATCAAGAAAGCTCAAGTATCAACATTTGCTACTTTGCATGTTATTTTTACTCTTAGAAAAATCATATAAAATTATTTCTATGTGAAAAGCAGTGAACCAAATAGTTTTATGTAAAGGGAACAAACTACCTGCACTGGCCTGTGCACGTTAATGTGTGGAAGCAGCGGCTGCCGGATTTTCCCCAAAAGTTTGGTATAGAACACCAAAACTTGTTGCTTCATTCCTGGAGGACACTGGGTACAGGAAAAAAACAAACAAGAAAAAAAACAGACAATGCAAACCTTTTTACTCGAAAGCTTGAAAAAAATCAGAGACAATGTATGTGAATATATTACACCTTCAAAAATCAATGCAATTAGACAGTGACTTTATCTAAATAAAATTCTCAATCAATTATTACTGACTGGTATTCTATAAATAAAATTCATAAGAGTGTGTGAGACCACAGGCTGATGTGATCACAAACAGCATAGTGATAATATGCCATGGTGACTGGAGTTTGGTTCAGGTAATGCCAAGCTGTTAATATTCTAAATGCTAGGGTAAAAGGAAACTCCCTGGCCCAGGCAAAGGCACCATCTTATCACTTACATTTATGACAGGTAATCAATAACCTTTCATCATATATATGGAGGAGTAAATAAAGTCTAACACATGTGTGTAAATAAAGGAATCCTATGTATAAATGGCTGTGATTTATTCTAACAATGTGATTTTAAAGTAGTCGCAAAACTATTTACATTATGATTATTATAGGCAATGAATATTTAATAAATAAGTTTTGATAACATGCCAATTGTTTTAAATATTTGCTGAAAGGCAGATAAACCTGACTATTATGCATGATGTAAATTAAGAGTATGAGTTAGCAAGGTTATACTTTCTAAAATTAACCTGCTTATGTTGACTCAGATTTAAAATAGTCACAAAATATTTCCAAAACATCACCATAGACACATTATATGGAAATAGCATAATAGCATAAGCTATAATCTTAAGCACAATAGTATGTGAAGATAGTAAATACCTTAGATTATTCACATAAACCACAATATTTATAATCACCAATACCAAAATAAATTTCCCAGTAGTATAATTACTAACATTTGCTCAGAAATTGATTAATATTTGCTCAATATAATGTCGCATAATCTCTCTCTACAAAGGACAGGAAAAAGGAGGGAAAAAGGGAATGAACTGGAAGATACTAGTGAGTAGATATTTAGCTAGAAAATATAAACTGAATGAATATAACCTAAAAATGCATTGGAGAATTACAGACTTAATTAAAAGGAAATCATCTTCAATACGACTTCATTATTCTATTTGGTGTTTAAACATCTGTTTGAGGCTTTTTAATTTGATTTTCACATATATTACAGAAATTCACAGAACAGACGCACCAATTTTTAGAGCTGGGGGAGGCCCCGTGGTGATCACCTCTTTGTTTTTAAACAGGAGGAAGATTCACCAAAGAGACTTACTTCAATTGGTTCTGCTCATCAGAAGTGTTAATGTCAGAATGATCAATGACATTTTCTTTCTTTCAGGATTATGAAAAATAATTTTTGTAACCCATTATTCAATGGGATCCTTCTCATTTCCTTTGCTTCTGAGCATTTGCACTTGAGTAGATTTTTATAAATGTTTACACTGTAATTCTAAGCAGCCTAAGTACCAGTTGTCTAGAGGATTTGGGAGCTTTGCTATCTCTATGAAAAGTCATACTCATATAGGACAAACAATTTTTTTTTTTCATGTACTGACTTGAATCCTTCCATGCTTAATATATACCTCTACAGTTAAATTTAGTGCTTGGCAGCTTCTTTATCTCTAAGACATGAAAAGATATATTACATGTACTAGACTAAGAACATCATGTGGATTAGGAACTTACATCAGCTTTCCCTAGGGTATATAATGTTTCCAAGATCTTGTGATGAAGTAAATATTCCATACATGGCCCCGTCTCTCCAAATTCCCGTTCATTTTCTTCTTGTACTAAGATAACTAACATCTGTTCCAGATGAGATGGAATATTTGTATCTGTCACCGGGGCTTTATCATCTAAACAATAAAGATATTCATCAAATAATCAAACATTTTTAAACCGTACATTTGCACCTAAAATACTCTTTGTATTTCCCTGTTTTTATTCAGAGAAAAGTTTGAATTGTTCACACTTGGGTGAGGTTTATATCTTATTCAAACACAATCTATATTCTGAAAGATATTCTAAAGTTAATACTTATGCATAATAATTCAGAAAAGGAACCATTTATGGGGTATGGAAATGGAAACATGATCAGAAAAAAATACAAATAACATCAGAACTTTTTATATATTTATAATTTTAAAAATGTTATTTCAATTAGCCAGTTCAAAAGATCTAAACTTTCAGTTCAGTTCAGTCACTCAGTTCTGTCCAACTCTGCGCCCCATGGACTGCAGCATGTCAGGCCTCCATTTCCATCACCAATTCCCAGACTTTACTCAAACTCATGTCCATTGAGTCAGTGATGCCATCCAACCATCTCTTCCTCTGTGTCCCCTTCTCCTCCCGCCTTCAATCTTTCCCACTATCAGGGTCTTTTCCAATGAGTCAGTTCTTTGCATCAAGTGACCAAAGTATTGGAGTTTCAGCTTCAACATCAGTCCTTCCAATGAACACCCAGGACTGATCTCCTTTAGGATGGACTGGTTGGATCTCTTTGCAGTCCAAGGGACTCTCAAGAGTCTTCTCTAACACCGCAGTTCAAAAGCATCAATTCTTCAGAGCTCAGCTTTCTTTATAGTCCAACTCTCACATCCATACATGACTATTGGAAAAACCATAGCCTCGACTAGACGGACCTTTGTTGGCAAAGTAATGTCTCTGCTTTTTAATATGCTGTCTAGGTGGGTCATAACTTTCCTTCCAAGGAGTAAGCATATTGTAATTTCATAACTGCAGTCACCATCTGCAGTGATTTTGGAGCCCCCCAAAATAAAGTCTGACACTGTGTTTCCACTGTCTCCCCATCTATTTGCCATGAAGTGATGGAACTGGATGCCATGATCTTAGTTTTCTGAATGTTGAGCTTTAAGCCAACTTTTTCACTTTTCCTCTTTCACTTTCATCAAGAAGCTCTTTAGTTCCTCTTCACTTTCTGCCATAAGGGTTGTTGTCATCTGCATATCTGAGGTTATTGATATTTCTCCCAGAAATCTTAATTCCAGCTTGTGCTTCATCCAGCCCAGCGTTTCTCATGATGTACTCTGCATGCAAGTTAAATAAGCAGGGTGACAATATACAGCCTTGACATACTCCTTTTCCTATTTGGAACTAGTCTGCTGTTCCATGTTCGGTTCTAACTGTTGCTTCCTGACCTGCGTACAGGTTTCTCAAGAGGCAGGACTGGTGGTCTGGTATTCCCGTCTCTAAGAATTCTCCAGTTTGTTGTGATCCACACAGTCAAAGGCTTTGGCATAGTCAATAAAGCAGAAATAGATGTTTCCTCTGGAACTCTCTTGCTTTTTCAATGATCCAGCAGATGTTGGCAATTGGATCTCTGGTTCCTCTGCCTTTTCTAAAACCAGCTTGAACATCTGGAAGTTCACGGTTCACGTATTGTTGAACCTGGCTTGGAGAATTTTGTGCATTACTTTAGTAACATGTGAGATGAGTGCAATTGTGCAGTAGTTTGAGCATTCTTTGGCACTGCCTTTCTTTGGGATTGGAATGAAAATGGACCTTTTTCAGTCCTGTGGCCACTGCCGTGTTTTCCAAATTTGTTGACATATTGAGTGCAGCATTTTCAAAGGATCATCTTTTAGGATTTGAAACAGGTCAACTGGAATTCCATCACCTCCACTAGCTTTGTTTGTAGTGATGCTTCCTAAGGCCCATTTGACTTCACATTCCAGGATGTCTGGCTCTAGGTGAGTGATCACACCATCGTGATCATCTGGGTGGTGAAGATCTTTTTTGTATAGTTCTGTGTATTCTTGCCATCTCTAAACTTTAGGTCTCTTTATATAAAAACAGGTGGACCTTCAATGTTAAGTTGAATCAGGTAGCATGTGCGGAGAGGACAGGCTTGGTTTTGATCACTACTACATTGCTTTGTGGGCTTCCCAGGTGGCACTAGTGGTAAAGAACCTGCCTGCCAATGCAGGAGACTTAAGAGACATGTGTTTGATCCCTGGGTCAGGAAGAGCCCCTGGAGAAGGGCATGGCAATCCACTCCAATAGTCTTGCCGTGGGCAGAGGAGCCTGGTGGGCTACAGTCCACAGAGTTGCAAAGAGTCAGACACGACTCAAGCGACTTAGCATGAACATTGCTTTGTAACAATGGGAAGTCAATACTCGAACTGCCTCCAATTCATCTCCAGATCTGAAAACATGAAGAGCCCAAAGAAAAACCCTCTACTGAAAATTTCTGACATCTCATCAGCAGAGATCTATTCCCAAAGTAAAAGATGCTTCTCAGGAAAATTCTTACAAAATACTGGTTTTTTAAAAGTAAAAATTCATGAATACTTTTAACATAGTAAAAACACATGGTTTTACCAACCTAAAATTATCATATAAGGGTTAAATCACTCATATAAATTACTGTTATAAAATGTTTAAATATAAGGTGTATTAGGGAATGACAAGTTTTTTTTATGTCTCTACTGTTCTTTACTTAGTACTGCTCTAGTCTGTACAATACAACCCTGGCATGCTGTGTATCTGATGGCACAAAGCTTTGTCTGTACACTTACACATGTATGTATATACATACACACTCAGACTAAACCATAATACTAAAGCCTTATGGAGAAAACAAGGGAAAGAGAAGAGTCACTTTTGTTTCCCAGGAGGACATATCAAATTTTACTGAGTATGGGATAGTTATTAAGAGCATGAGACCTGGACTTGGACAACCTGGATTCAAGTCCTGGCTCTGTTGCTTTTAGCCGGGTGACCTGGGCAAACTACTTAAGCCTCAGTACCAACATCTGTAAAATGGAGCTAATCAACACCAGTAAGTGCTACTGTATGATTTCGACGAAATAATGTGTATGAAGCCCAGTGCCTCAGCACACAGTAAGAATTCAAGGAATGTTAACTTATGATGTCTCACTTCATTTTCTTCTAAAATGAGTAGCCTAGGGCTAATAAAAGATGGTGTGTAATTTTTTTTTTGAAGTTTATTCTTTAAAAGTGTTTTTCACCTGTTTAACTGCAGATTTTATATAAACATTTCAGGAAAGAATGAATATTTAAGCACGGTTTGATTATACATATTTATGGGAAAAAGTAAAAAAGACCTTTTTTTTCTTTGAGAAATGAATGAACTACAAGTTCAACTTGACAGGATTAAAATCCGAGCTCCCCAGAAGATCTACTTTCTGCTGTCCACTCTCACCATCCCAAACCATGTTTAGAACCCAGTGCCTCTGCATAAGCTATTCCTTCTGCTGAAATGCCTTTGCCTTCCTTGTCTACCTCAAAACTTACTGCTCATCTTTTCAAGCCCAGGGTCAGACACTGCCTCCTAGTTTTCTCCCTTCTTCCTTTTCTCTCTGTGCCTGACCCACTTTTTTGTCCTATACTTTATTGTAACATATACACTTGCTTTTGCCACAAGATTGAAAAAAAAAAAAAATCATTTGATGCAAGAACTTACAGGCCTTTCTTTAAAGCATTTCCTTAAGACCATGGAGGGGTGAAAAACTCACAAGGGCTAAGAACAGTTATTTTTTGAAAAGATTGCTCCTGTCAAAAAACTTTTCTATAGATCTGCCATCTAAACATCCAAATTAAGGTCAAAATTACACTTTACACTTAAAGGTGCATATATAGATAGTTTGATTATCACTTATTACATAAAAATGAGGAATTTCTTACTTTTAAAGAATTATCTATGACCCCACCAGCTTGCCAAATCAACTATTTTTTTCTTCATGTATTCTTTCAATTAAAAAAATATGTGTTCAATCTGCACATCCACTAGCGTTTACCTCTATATTCCTTAAGGGAGCCCACAGGGCTATGGAGCAAGGCTACTACTCTATTTCCTATTTCAGAGATTGCCAGACTTCAGCTCATGAAACAAACCGAGCCTTGCCATCTGCTTTAATAAAGTTGTATGGAACAAAGTAATGCTCTTCTTTTAATGTATTGTGGAAGGTTGCTTTTGCACTATAACAACAGAATTGAATATTGCAAGAGATTGTATGGCCTACAAAGCCTAAGATATTTACCGTCTGACCCTTTATAGAAAAATTTTGCCAAACTTTGACCTAATTTATTCACATTTCCCCACATTTACTCTTCAGCCTATTCACTAAGAAAGACTGAAGCACAAAGAAGATAACTTCTAAAGACGTCCACACCATGTCCATTTCTTTCCTACGTTGACACCCATGTGTTTTTTTTCTGTCTTAATTTTATGGATGAGCTGTCCACAAGCCTACGAAGGCTAAGCCTTCACTAATGCATGAGGATCCCATAACCCACTTGCCAACTTAAGGATAAGGCTCAGAAATTATCTCCTATGACTCTCGTGCACACCTTTCCTTCTCTACTAGCTCATTCTTACCGAAGTACAAATGGCAGTACCTTCCATCTTAAAAAAAAAAAAAAAATTAGCTCCTGCCCCCACAAGGCCACTTCTCCCTGTGGCTGTTGATCTGTCTCTCAGCTCTCCTTTCCACTAACACTCCTCAAGAGAGTGGTCTTCACACACTATCCAAATATGTTCTCTGTCCATTGTCTCTTACACTTCCTCCAGTCAGGTCTCCTCTCTCTTCCCTGCTATTAAAGGGCTCTTATCAAGACCACTGATGAGCTCCTCATGGCTGAATCCAATTACCCATTCCTAGTCTTCCTCAGCTTGACATCATTAGCCACTCAGATCCTTCTCTCCGCTTCCAGCTCGAGGACACCATTCTCTGTTGGCAGTCTGGCGCATCACTGGCAAAAGCACAATCTCCTTTGCTTGCTATCACTCTCACTGTCCCAGTCGCTGAACCCTGAGTATGAGGGCTGAGTTCCTGAATACTTCTCTTCTTCCATCTGTCTGTAGCTATCCCCAGGTGATCTCAGCCAGGCTCATGGCTTTAAATCCTACTTACACGTTGATGACTCTCAATTCCATGTCTAGCTTATGGCTCCACCCTAAATCCCAGATCCCTCTTTCTTACTGTCTGCTTGACAATATCCAGCTGCACATATAATGGGTGTCTCAAACTAAACAAGTCCAAAATGCTCTCACAAACCTGCTCTTCCTGCAATCTCTCCATTCTCAATGAGTGCTCCTTCTATTATTCCAACTGCCTAAGCCCCAACACGTGGAGTTATCCTTGATTCTTCTTCTTTCATACCCAATATTCAATCCACCAACAACTTTCTTCAAAACATACCCAGAGTACAATCACTTCTCACCACGTCCACCCTGGTCTGAGCCACCGACATTGCTCAAACCATTGCAACAGTCCCCTAACTGCAACTTCACCTCTGCACACTTGCAATCTAAGTTTCTTGCAGAAGCCAAAGTGATCTCTTTAAAGCCGATTATGTTACACCTCTGCCCAAAACCCTTTAAAGGCTCCCCATCTTAGAGTAAAAGCCAAAGCCCTCGCAACAGCTTAGAAGGCCCTGGGTGAACCTGCATTCCCCCCCCCTCCCCCCCCCGTTGATGTTGCCTCCTCCCGTTTCTCTCCTTGTTCACTTCGCTCCAGCCACACTTCTGTGGTTCCCGGTGCCCGCCAGGCGCTGTGCCCTGCAGCCTCAGGGTTTGTGCGCTGTGTGCTCTCCCGGACCTCTTCCCTTGGATACCCCAGGCTTGCTCCCTCCTTCCTTCAGATTCGGCTCAGAAGTCACCTGGGGTAAGGAGGATTTCTCTAATCTTAAAGAGCCGGCTGTCTCTGACGGCTCTGTCCCCACTCCTCCAACACTTCCATCCCTTTCAGCCTGCTTCATTTTCTCCTTAGCACTTATCATCTGACACAGTATGTGTACCTGTCTTGTTTGCTTCCTCCTAATCAATATCTCCTGGAGAAGGGACTGGCAACCCACTCCAGTGTTCCTGTCTGGAGAATCCCATGGACAGAAGAGCCTGGCAAGCTACAGTCCGTGGTGTCGCAAGAGTCGGACATGACAGAGTGATTAATACAATTAATATATCTGGGCCTCCCGAGTGGCTCCCTGATAAAGAATCGGCCTGTCAATGCAGGAGATGCAGGGTTCCATCCATGGGTCACGAAGATCCCCTGGAGAAGGAAATGGCAACCCACTCCAGTATTCTTGCCTGGAAAATTTCATGGACAGTGGAGCCTGGCAGGCTATAGTCCATGGAATTGCAAAGAGTCAAGCACAATTTAGCAACTAAACAACAACCATCAATATACAAGCTCTGTTAGGACAGATATATTTGTCTCAGTGGCATACCGCCCAGTGCCCAGAACAACACTTACACATAGTAGGTGTTCAACAGATGTATTTTTGAATGAGAGGAATTAAAATTAATTGCTTATAAGTTTCATGCAAAATAACTTTGAAGAGTAGTTTGTATGTATTTTAATATTTCATTGATTTTCTGTTTAATTAATATCAGCATGGTTTCTTACCTGACGTCTCTATATAGTAATGGGTAATTGCCTTCCAGTGGTAAACAAAATCTTCTTGTAAAGGAAGAGAAGGTGCAAGCTACACAAACACAAACAAAAAGCCACAACAATTAAGAAAATGGCATTAAAATTTCTTATTAAGTGTAACTGTATTTTTCTACTAACGATGCAAAAGCAGCATATTAATAAGGAATGAGCTTTAATATGATTCTGTATGTCAAATATCAAGGAGAAACAATGTCAAATCCAAGAAAGTAAAATGATTTATTAAGAAAGATGAAAAACACATTTATCAGTGTTATTAGTAATTATAGTATTGGGTTTTTTTCTCCTTCCCTGAAAGTAGTAACTATATGTGACTTCAAAAGTAACAGAGTTAAATAAAAACACACAATATTCTATTACTAAAGTATCAGTCAAATGAAATTATTGATAACCAGGGATCTTTGTACCTAGGACTTTGAAATGCAAAACAGTAAAAAGCTGCTATGTAACTAGTTACACATCACCACTACTAAAACATATACCAAAGTCAACCCTATAATCAGATTAAAATTGTTCTCTATTTTCAATGACATACAGAAGTAAATCTTTTCTTTTTAAGCCTAGATTAGGCAGTGCATATTTTTAGCAAAATGACCACGTGAACAAGACACTACCAATTTAAATTCCACAAAGTCAAAAATGTCTCACATTTTGATTTTGAAATTTACTTCAGACGTTTTAAGGCCAAAATTATATCCCTTCAACCATCTCATTGCAAACTTACAAGTATTTTAAATGGGTACTAAACGGATAGAAAAAGATTTGGATGCACCTTTACAATATTTTATTTTCTTTAAAATGAATGACAGAGAGAGAATGCTCTCCCCGTCCTAGCACTGTCAATAAATTTTCATCAGAAAGTTCAGCTGACCCAGTTTTCGTTAATAGCAAATAGGTTTCCATTTTGAGAACCTCAACCATGGCAGTGTAATCTTCCATTTTCACAGATTCATCTAAACAGATGACCTAAGAGGTCATGTTACTTCTGAACTACAACTTGTTCCATTTTGACTGGTTCTCCCGTAACGACTTCAAAGTTCAAAACCTTTCAAAACAATTTCCAAACTACTGAGTAAATTATAAACATTGGTCAAGATATCCTAAGTATTTCAATCCAGAAGATGAAATGTAATCAGGAAACAAATGGACCTGAAAATTTTTCTGCAATCATCAACATCTTCTGCCAGCTTTTTCATATGTGCCTATTCACACCACTCTGAATAGTACTGCATTAAGAGAATGTAAATATTCATCTCATTTCCAAATAGAAGGCTATGCAAAAATTTTAAAGACTTTAAGATCCTTAACAATGGAGTTAAAAATCTTTGGGGTTACTATACTTCAGGAATATGGAAAGAGAAAATTCGTGGTAGACTGAGAAAAAAATTAGAGAAATAAGAAAGAAAGAAAGAATTTGGGAAAATAATCTTCCTGAAACTTTTAGATTAAAAAGTCAGTTTTAATCAGCTACTTATTTGTAGAATCTTCCTCAAAATATATAGAATTTCTCTTGTATTATAGACCTTTTAACACACTAGCTTTATGCAGTATTAAGTGTTATTAATCAATTAATTCTGTACTAACAGTTGGGACAAACCCAAATGAAATTTGGTGTTTCAGAAAAAATGTACTGAGTTTCTGAAGTGTAAATATTATGCTTTGTTTAGTTTTTCCAAGGGAATTTCCAGGGTCTATCACTTTGCTGGAGAAATCTGGCCAGATTTCCTGCCGAGGGCATGGTCCTTTCCACACAGGCTTGCGGCACCGTCTCCCTGGCTGCCGGCTCCCTCTCTCCCAGCCCTGAGCCCGTGTTGGTGACTGTTGAGTTAGCCATCTCCTCCACTAGATTGTGAACTCAGCGAGTTTACAAAGATTATATCATCTTGTTCATCTCCGAACCCCCAGTTTCCAAGTCAGTGATGGCGCATAGTAAGCGCCGAGTGAACACAGGGCAGCTGCTGCCATTTATGAGTAGTTATGTGCCAGGGCTTCCCTGGGGGCTCAGAGGGGTCTGCCCGCAACGCGGGAGACCCGGGTTCGATCCCCGGGTCGGGAGGATCCCCCGGAGAAGGGTATGGCAACCCACTCCAGTACTCTTGCCTGGAAAATTCCATGGACGGAGGAGCCTGGTAGGCTACAGTCCACGGGGTTGCAAAGAGTCGGACACAACTGCGCGACTTCACTTTTCTTTCACTTTTACGTGCCAGGCACGATGCCAAAGTTTACACTCACGTGTGGTCTTAAATTCTCACAATAAACTCCAACTTTTCCCAAACAAACTCTTGTCAAGACTTAGAGCCATTCACTGACCTGCAACACTGGTAATTAAAAACCTGGAGGTCTTTCCCCAAAATACCTACCACACAAAAGGACCTACCTAACTGATAACTCAGATGAGAACTAGGGTTCTCAGAGGCACGCCTGCAGCCTCACAGCCTCAACATTCCACGCCCCGCTCTTTGAAACTGCTTCTTCCTCCAGGCAATTTTCTGACGCCCCCCTCTCCTATCTCCTCTGCCTCAGTAAGTCCGGCTCAAGTCTCTCTTCCTCCAGGGAGCCTTCCAATCCTAAGTGCTTGCTCCCCTCCTCCTACAGAACTCATTAACAGAACAATTATCCAAATAATAACAATAATGATTAACATTTATTAAGCACTTACTATGTGCCAGGCACTGCATTAAGTACTTGTCATTCTAATTTTCACAATTCTATCAAATAGGTCTAATTACTTCCATTTTACTATGAGGAAGCCAGCTGTGCTGCAGCCCGTGGGATCACAAAGAGTAGACAGGACTCACTGACTGAACAACAAAAATGAGGAATTGAAACATAACAAAGACTAAGTTGTCCAGTGAAGAAGTAGGGGGCAGAGGCAAGCCTAGAACCCTGCTCTGTCTGGCTCTAGGGGCCAGGTCACAAGCTTGTGCATGGCTTATACTTCAGCTTGTGCATCTGTTTTGCGTATCAATGCAGTCTCACCGTGAACTCACACTGTGCTTTCTTGATGAGCTCCTAAAATGTATGCTGCATGACTAAAGGATGATAGTTAAAGAGCACCTGTCGGAAAAGAATACACTTAAGAAAACGCTACCTAAGTTTCATTTGACATTTTAATTCCTAGTGCAGAGTAGATTTTTAAGGAATTGCTAGTCTCAACAATCATCATTAAATCTTAACTATAATTTTACAAGAAAATAATAATGCATCCAAATTCTGAAAGATGACTTATCTTGAATTAACTAGTTAAGACAGATAAAACATTCTTTCCTGACACTGCCCTTTTATCCTCCTGGAGTAAATCTGCCTTCAAGGATGAAAATGACTGGAATTACAAGATATCAGTCCCTGGCAGACTATTTCACACAGACTAAGGCCCTCAACAAATACTGAGTTTTACTAATGGAAGGTGTTTTATTTATCCTTTGGAGAAGCTGGGCTAAAATGATCCACCTCAGAACTAACTACATGAGAGGCCTGATTTCAGACTTGTGGCAACTAACTAATTTCCTGACTCTTAGTAGCCAATCATTTCTATACTGAAGGAAAATTGTCATTTCTGAAAAAGGAGGCAAGAGATACATTACAGTTTTTGTTTTTGCTCAAGGTGTGAATTTCTCTCCTAAACTCAAAATGTGGCCTACCAGATTAATAACACATCTTCAAGTACTGATCTTTGAAAATATCTTAGTTATTTCATCCTTTTAAGTAGTTAACAGGAAGTGAGAAGAAACCATTAATTAAACAATAAGGAAAACTCTACACCTAAACCGTATTTAAATGAATATGTATCTGGCTGACCCTAAAAAACACATTTGAAGGTGGATCCAATTGAATAAAAAAACCTAGGAAATAATAATACCAAAATGGTTGAGAAAACATTATAGAGATTCATACAATGACACAACTGAAAAAAGGTCATGTCAGCATCTGTCTACAGGATTATCTCCCTTCTCTATAGAACCCTGATAATCATAATTGCAATACTATATCAGAAAATGCTAATTGGGCATACAAATTAGAAGTAGGATAGAGAAAAGCTAATGAAATGAAATGAGGAATGGTAAGATTAGGCCATAGAAAAAAAGTCAAGCAAATAAAGAAACGGAACCGAATAAATGGAAACCAATCTTGAGCTAGGGGAAAAAAAGGTATTCTTCAAATAACACAAAGATGGCTTATTCAGCATTATATATGGGTTCATTTCCAAGAGAATGGCAAAAGGGAAAAGGAAAAAAAAGTACACCAAAAATTTTTCATCACATTTAACTGCCTATCAAGGTAAACTGGTAAGTATCATAATTGAAAACATTAACGCTAAGTAAATAAAAACATTACTTTTCTAAATGCAGTGCATTAACTCCCAGGGGCAGGTGAATATAATCCACTCTTTTTCTCACTAACCTCAGCAAAGCAGACAACCTGGATATTACAGAGGCAGAGTCAGACAATTTACATGGATAATTTGGGAGATGGTAACATACACAATTATAAGAAGATAATGCAGACAGAAAACACAGGCCTTAGGACAAAAATGAGTCTTTACTGGGAGAGCACTGAAAGCCATCTTGCTTTTTCTAAGTACTTATTTCTGTAAATATCAGCCTGAATTAGTACAGAATATAAATGATGTAATAAATTCTTATTCCAAATTATCTCAGTATGAAGCTGTATTCAGTGTCAAAAAAGTAAATGACTCTTGATATTTAAAGTTAATAAATAATATAAAATGTAAATATCACTGTTTTTTTATAAATTTTAATTCTAAAAGTAAGGTGCTGTAGCTGGTGTATAAGCAGGAAAGAAAAATTAAAAGTTGCCTGAGAGTCTAAGACTGTCATCTCCCTCAAGAGTAATACTGCTCTTCATTCATGAAAAACCCTGTCTTGCCTGATTTGATACATTCCTTTTCTCAAGAACCTGTAGCAGATCTAAAACGACTCAAACATTTCCCACACAGCACTTAAGAACTGTACAAAAGTTTTCCAGTACTGAGTTTTAAAAATCCATTTTATTTTTATCTGGCCATAAAAACTGTTCTATTGCAATTGTGTGTTTTCCGCCCTTAAAGTTATGTAGATCTGAATGTGCTATGTCACCCAAAAACTGGACACAGAAAAAGAATGACATTTTTAAAACTAGCCAAGTAGCACGTCTAGCAAAACTGCACTTGTTATGAACTTGACAGGGTGCCTTTTTCGATTTGGGCAATTCTGCCAGCCTGAAGTAAAACAACCGAAGTAAAGCAACGCGACCCCTTATCACTGAATCAGCAGGAAGACATGTTCTTGGGAGTTACTTCTCTTTTGGTACTGTTAGGAGATTTGAGTGCTGTCTCCCTATGCTGGGGTCTGAAATCCTCAAAGCGGGGTATAATTGCAGGAAAGACCAAGAGCGTCCAGGAAAGGAAGAGAAGAAAGGAAACAGATGGTCCTGGTGCTGAGTGAGGGCTTGGAAACTGTCTAAAGCACACTCGATCAGACCTTCCAAATGCATTTCACACCGGTCAAGATGCAGCCGAGTTCGGCCGCCGGGCCTGCACGAGCCAAAGCTGGCTAGATTATGAAACCGGGTCGGGTGGGCTGCCTCCCTGCCAGAGCCGCGACCCCCGGCCAGAGCACCCCGTCCTGCCCCCCACCCCCACCCCAAACAAAACAAAACGAACCCAAATAGCGTTAGGCCGTTTCTTTTGTCTCGAGCAACGCTGACTACTTTTTTGCGGAGAAGGTTAACGGTCAGGGAGTCCGGGGGAGCGCCCCAAGACCCTGCCAGGTGCTCCCCGACTCCCCTGGCCCCATCAGAGGAATCGGACGACCCCCAATCCGGGCCGAGAGGGATCGGTCCTCCCGGGGACTCCCGCTTGCCCTCTTAGAGCGAGGGAAAGGGCTCCACGCCGGCTCAGGGCAGGAAGGAGAGCAGGGGGTCCGCTCAGGGCCAGGCCTGCAGCCCCCGGCGCCCCGACGACCGCGCCGCGCCAGCCCCGGGCCTCGCCCCTCCGCGGGGCCGGGGACGCCGAGGGCCGCCGGGCCGAGGCCGCCGGTCTCTCTCTGCCCGGGGCCGGCGGCGGGGAACGTAGGCCGCCGCCATCCCCGGCCTGTCGTGCGCCCGCAGCCCCGCGGCCTTACCGCCTCCACGGCGTGCTGCAGGATGGAGGTGAACTTGGAGAACATCCTGTCCCGGGACTGCAGCAGCTTCTCCCGGGACGACCTGGAGAGCTCCTCGATCCGCCGCCGCCGCCCCTGCTGCGGCTGCCGGGGCCGCTCCAGAGTGAAGGCCGGTGCGGGGCGGGGAGGACGAGCAGAGGGCCGAGGCGGGCCCGGCCCGGCCGCTTCAGGTGTACGCGGGCGGCGCGGAGGCTCCGGCGGGCGCGGCGACGTGGCGGGCGACGAGGAGGGCGTTCCGCGCGGACTCTGGGCCCCGCGAAGCTCCGGCGGCGGTGGCTCCGGCTCCGGCTCCGGCTCCGGCTCGGACACGGTGGCAGCTCGGCTCGGGTTCCTTCCGCCCGCTCTGCCCGCCTCAGCCTGCAGGGGGCGCCGCCGCAGCCCGGGGAGGCCCCCGCCACGCCAGGCCGACCCTGCTGCTGGGCGGCCGGACGCCGCGGGGGCGGGAGAAGCACCCAGAGGCCGCGGCCCGCCTGGGGCCCGGAGTCGGGCCTGGGCGCTGCCGCCACCGTCTCCCGCCGACACACTGTCATGCTTACATTGTAAAAATACAGCTGTTCTCACTGCGACTTGTTTCTCCAGTGGAAGTAAATGCCAGTTTTGTAGGAAAATGAAGCCGTATATGTATATAAAATTCAGAGGTTCGTCTTTTAAGGGCAGATTTGCAAGACCGGCAAGAAAAAGCACAGTACTCCTAAGGCAAACAGGAATGGTGGGTTTAGATGCTGAGAATGAGAACAAATCAGCGAAAGCAGATGAAATGACTTTGCTAACCGTAAACCTTTATTATTATTGTTGTTGTTATTTATTTATTCAACATTAAAACAGGAAGCCCTAGATTGACGAATGGTAAGATGAATCAGTTATTTGGAACATTTGATAGAAAATGCATTCAGTATAGCATTTTCTATTCAGTTCTCACTTGGTTCTGGGAAACATCAGTGAGGGAAAAGACTTGAAAGGGATTCCAGGAAGTGCATAGGACAGATTAAGTGGAGCTACAATGTAAGCACTCGGATGGAGCCTTCTTTAAAATAGTATGCAACAGTATATTGTGCAAACCTTAAAGAAATACGGCTCGGGCTGGTAAAGTTTAGGTTGCATTGACACAAATTATGAAAATGTTCATATCCTGGAGAACTTTGTTTTTGCTAGGGTTGGCATTTTATCAAAAGGACCATTAAATTCTTGATGAGGGTGGAGTCAGTGTTGGACAGCCCATGCTGAAAATATGTATTTATAATTGAATTAGTTGAGCACAGGAAAGGCAGAAAAGATAGCAGCAGTGCAGAATGGTGTTTAGGGGCAGTCTCTGGAACTGGGTAGGCTAGATTTATAATCTCAGTTCTGCCACTCACTGCAGCATGTTGTTTAACCTCTTTGTGCTTTGGTTTACTCATCTGTAAAATTCAGGCTGAAGGGTGAGGCAGTGTGGTAATACCTACCTTCATGAGGTTGTATGAAAATGTCTTAATATACGTAAAGTAGTTTAACATGCCCAGTCTACACTAAGCAATGCACGGACATTTGTTATTATTGTTGTTATTAGTAATAGTTCAGTTCAGTCACTCAGTCGTGTCTGACTCTTTGCAACCCCATGGACTGCAGCATGCAAGGCCTCCCTGTCCATCACCAACTCCCGGAGTTTACTCATACTCATGCCCATTGAGTTGGTGATGCCATCCAACCATCTCATCCTCTGTTGTCCCCTTCTCCTCCAGCCTTCAATCTTTCCAGCATCAGGGTCTTTTCAAATGAGTCAGGTGGCTAAAGTATTCGAGTTTCAGCTTCAGCATCAGTCCTTCCAATGCATATTCAAGACTGTTTTCCTTTAGGATGGACTGGTTGGATCTCCTTGCAGTCCAAGGGACTCTCAAGAGTCTTCTCCAACACCACAGTTCAAAAGCATCAATTCTTCAGTGCTCAACTTTCTTTATAGTCCAATTCTCACATCCATACACGACTACTGGAAAAAACCATAGCTTTGATAGACGAGCCTTTGTTGACAAAGTAATGTCTCTGCTTTAGTATGCTGTCTAGGTTGGTCATAGCTTTTCTTCCAGGGAGTAAGTGTCTTTTAATTTCATGGCTGCAGTCACCATCTGCAGTGATTTTGGAGCCCCCCAAAAATAAAGTCTGTGACTGTTTCCACGGTTTCCCCGTCTATTTTCCATGAAGTGATGGGACCAGATGTTGTGATCTTAGTTTTCTGAATGTTGAGTTTTAAGCCAAATTTTTCACTCTTTTTCACTATTAGTATTAGTAGTGTTTAACAAAATAATAGGGCCAGAAATCGAAATCAAGATTTAATGAAACTTTTACTAGTCTTGTCTTCTTTTCTCCCTTGTTTTTTTACCTCTGTCCTTGGATATCAGGTAAATTTGACCTTAATTCCCTGTACAGCAGCCTTCAGAATGCTGGAGGCAAATTCTGTCATTTGCTGAAAATCACAACATGCTCCTTATCAAATTCTAGCTAATTGTGTCTTCTTCAACCAAGAGCACATGCTGTTTTTTATTATTATTATTACTCAACAGTTAAGATGGTTAGTCACATTATTAACTATAATTATTTTCCTGACCTGATTGTCATACATTTTTATGGTATTTTGTATTTTCATAATACCTCACAACCACTAATTGTATGAAGAGGTCTACTTAAAGCAGGCCTACTTAGAGTTGTTTGTATTTGAAGATGCCTGTCTTTGTATACTTATTGTCAGTACAATAAAATGTGTATGTTTTGCTCTAGATTAGTATCAGTATTTATGATGACGATTCATCTATTTGATATGTAGGTTCCACAGCATGCAAATGGGATAGAACTATAACTGAGCAGATACTCTTACTTATTCTTATCCTAGAATGACACTAACATTATCACAAACCTTTATTCATGGGCAGAACTGGACCTACCTCAACAGAGTAGCTTATGATTTAAGAAAGCATAACAAAGGCTTCTCTGGGTCTCCAAAACACTTAGATATGGGTGCCTGGAATTACTCAATTAGAACTTTAGGGACTTCTCTGGTGGTCCAGTGGTTAAGCATCCTGCCTTCCAATGCAGGGGACAGGGGTTCCATCCCTGGCCAAGGAACTAAGATCCCACATGCTGCAAGGTGACTAAGCCGGCATGCCAACTAGAGAAGCCTGCACACTGCAACGAAGACCCGGAACAGCCAAAAAAAAAAAAAAGTTAAAACTCTTATTTCTTTATTCCTTTGACTTAAGGCAAATAAAAAATGTAGTCCCTGCTCAAATTAAAACACTTTGGGAAGAGATAATACATTAAACTCTAATTCATTACACTTCCTCAGGGTGAATAAATTTGTTAAGTTCTTTTACGAATGAAGTTTAATCAGCAAGGACACACACACAAAAATCTATAAAATTGAAACTCAATTGGAATGGAGTTGAAGAAATAGAGTTGGAGGACATCTTCTTCCAAAATTTTGGACATTCCCTTCCCAAATGTCACTAAAATTATAGTAGAGGGATTTTTTTTTTTTTTTTTTTACAAACCCAAATAGTACAAATACATTAAGAGACAGCAATAAAAATTTGAGAACTGGAAAGTAGCTGTAAAGGCCATAACTGATATGACTGACATAAGAAAGCTGAATCCCAAGGTAAAAAACAAGAACCAAAGTGATGTGTTAATACATTCACAGAACTTCTCAATGGCTCAGGAAATGGTAACATTAAGTACCTCTGGAAGTAGAGGTAAAAGTGGGACTGAAAATAACAGGATGGCTTGAAAGCTGATTTAGAATTGGATAGATGCACCTCCACTCCACAAGCCTGCTTGACTGTCCCTTTCCCACCCTGAAATAACATGAGAGACTTCTTCCTTGAAAGGGAGGGGCTCCATACTGAGAGAAGAAAAAAAAGAAAAAGGAGGATAAAGTGAAAATAAACCTTGTGAATGTCGAGACACATGTTCCCAACCCTCATCCTCTTGGCTCAAAATATAGTCATCAGGCTGATCCCTCCAGGTAGAAGGTAGAAAGGTCCTTTCTGGAGAATCTGATTCATCCAAGAGAACAGACCCAACGACCCTGCAGAGGAAACCCAGAAAACTTTACACTGCAGCCCCCAGTTGACAAGCTCTGCCCACGTGCTCAGAGCTTCAGTCGGATTCTTCATGCACCTCTCTTAAATAGGAACACACAGTCTAGGATCATCAACAATTCTAGGAGAGCTTGCAATATTCAAGTTAGAGCCCAAAGGAAAACTAGGACCAAAAAGAAAACTTGGAAGAAACGGAGTTGCTTACATTGAACAGACAGGGAAAGATGGTGAGAAGACTTCCATAAAACAACTATTTTAATATCCTCCTTAATATTGCATGTATAAAATAAGAATGGTATGCTATTTTTAAAAAAATAGCATTGAGGGAACAAAAAAGAGACTCTTAGAAATCAAAACTAAGATAGAAATTTTTTAAAAACAACATAGAAAGGGTAGAAAATAAGCTTGAAAAAAGCTTAGCATGCTTAGACTAGAGCAAAAAAAGAATGGAAAATAGCAGGGAAATTTGTTTTTTAAATTAGAAGGCCAGTCCAGTGGATCCAACATCTGAATAATTGGAAAGCAGAGGGAAGAAATAATTGACTATATTAATAATTTGATATAATTTTACATATTTGAAAGACATTTGTCTCTGGATTGAGAGGGTCCACTAAATACCAGAACAAGGAATGGAAATAGACTCACTGTAGAGGACTTTATTGTGAAATTTCAAAACAGTGGGTTCAAAGAAAGCTCCTATGAAATTTTCAATGAGAGAAAAAAGAAAACAAGTTTGTGCAAATAATCAAAAATCTCAATGGCATGATACTTTTCAACAACAACATGCGATGTCAGAAGGCTTTGGAGCAATGCCTTCAAAATTCCCAGGTAAAACAGTTTCAATCTAGAATTCTATACCAAGAAACTGTCAATCAAGAGTGAGGGTAAAATAAGTCATTTCAGATGTACAAGGTGTTGAAAATTTTCCTACCTTTCTCT